TTTTTTTTTTTTTCTGCCGAAAATACCTGTTCGGCTCTAACAGCCTCCTGCACTTTGCTGCTCAGCTCTCGGGGGCTTTTCCTGCCTGCCCTCCCCATGTCCGACATCAGCCGCTTCGCTGCAGCATCCCGAGGGAGCATCCCCGCTCATCCAAACATTCCCCTTCACCCTCCTCGCCGCCAGGTTGCCGTGATTCGCCTCCTTTTCCTCCTGTTTTCCTCCAGTTCCCCTCTCTGAGGTTGAATGCCACCGTGCTAATTCGTGGCCCAGCTCCTCCTGAGACCGTGGAGCTGTAATTATATTTTTTCTCCTGGTTGGTGCGAGGCTCGGCTATAATTATGGCAGGAAGAGCATTATTTAGGACTAGCCTGGGAGCAGCATTCCCTCGGGGAGCCGGGGCACCGGCTGCTCCCAGGAATTCTCATTTGAGGTGCTGGAGAGGAGCAGAGAGTTTGCCATGTGCYACTYRTCCCTAATGCCACCGATRGTCCCTGCTCTCGTTACCAGCCCARCCACTAATTACAAACCCTGAGCTGTGGCAGCAGGAGGAAACCCTGCAGAGATTTGGGGTCTTTCTGCTTGGTTTTAAGACTCCCACCATCCATCCTGGAGAGCTGGAGCAGGCCCTGAGCTCCCCCCGGATATTCCATCCCCCCGAGGAGGAGGCTGTGCTGAAATCCAGGGGTGGGATGGATGAGCGCCCTGGCCCATCTCTGCTGCTTGGATATCGTATTTCAGTGGATCACCACACATCAGTGCCTCCAGATAATTTGCCTGAGGTATCAATTAGCACTAATGAGGTGGGAGTTGTGGTGTCCAGCGCATCCCTCACCATTCCAGGGTGGCAGCAGGACTGGTGGCTCTGGGCTGGTTTGAGAAGGAAAGAAGAATCCCAGAGCACTCAGAGAACACCCTGAACACTCATTATAAAAAAGYGTTCCCTCCTTGTCTCCCTCTGAACACTGATAATGGAATCCTGRAATGATTTGGGTGGGAAGGGACCTYAAAACTCATCSAGTTCCAGGYRCAGGGACACCTTCCCGGTCTCAGGGTGCTCCAAAATTTCTCCTSACCCTGAGCACCTCCAGGGATGGGCCAGCTGCTATCAACAGTTCCTCAGCCCTCATTCAGATCCCTTCACCTGAACAATTCCAGCAGGAATTGGCAGGAATGAAGTGTTCTCCCCCTTCAATGACAGCAAACAAAATTTAGGGGAATCTCCCCTCGACCCTAAAAGCTGACCCTTAAACTGAGCAGATATCACCGTGCTCTATCCAGACTCCAACAACTTTAGGGAAGCAGTTTCCTTGTCTCCAGCACACTGTTTTTAGCCTACTTTCCCCAGGAAATGGGGCTCACTCCTGTGATTGTGCTGTTTATATATCTATATGCCATCACTCCCACACTAATAACTTTTGAACGTGTTGGCCAATTCCAACCRAATCTGACAGAGCGGCAGAGTTTTCAAAAATACTGAATTCTTACAAATTTAATGAAAGCCGTGGGTGGGCACATATTTTTTTTTCCCCCACCAAGGGAAAGGCTGCAGAGTGAACTCAGTCTGATGAGACAGAAAGGAACACACACACACATGMACAGCCACACCAGTGCTCTGAAAAKYCTCAGRTGATGGGAAGTTGGGGKTTTTGTTGGYATTAAAGGGGGGATATTCCACCCCTGAGCCCAAAACCTCGGGAATGACCACCAGGATTCTCCCCCAGTTGTTTTTGTGGCTTTTGGACGATGCAGTTTGGTGTGGGCACTGCAGGAGATGGTTCCTTCATTAGGAAGCTTTAAATTAATCGGACTAATTATAAGAAAGCCTTTCTAGCTGGATCTGGGTATGTAAAACCTTGCTCTGCTCTGGTTCTGCAGGTTCAGGGACTCTGCCAAAGCCTCACAAGGAAGGGAGAGCTCAAACTGCGGGATTGGAGGTTTCAGACAAAGCAGTTTAAGGTGAAAGAGCTGAGATTTCCATGGGATATTGGGAAGGAATCCTCCCCTGGGATGGTGGGGAGGGCCTGGCACAGGGTGCTCAGAGCAGCTGTGGCTGCCCCTGGATCCCTGGGAGTGTCCCAGGCCAGGCTGGAAGTGAGAATTCCCCACCCAAATCAATCTGGAATTCCATRATTTTATGATTTGGGTTGGAAGCTCATCCCATTCCACCCCCTGCCATGAGCAGGGACACCTTCCACCATCCCAAGGGTGTGGGTGCTCCCAGCCCCATCCAGCCCGGCCTGGGACCCACCTAACCCCACTCACCCCTAGTTTCCTGCAAAGCCCAAGTCCCACAACCCTCCCTGGCTGAATTTGGGTACTTTGGCTCTTCACTGATGGATTTTGGGGTCTCAGCATGAGCCATTAGCACAGGCACAAACATTCCTGGGCCACTGCTCCCAGCCTTGGTGAGCCAGGGCTGGAGTGTGACTGTCCCTGGGTGGTGCAGCACAACTGGGCTGTGATCAGGGGTCAATAAAGGGATCAATAAAGGGATCAATAGCAGAGATCAATAAAGGGCCTTTCTGAAGCCCCTGCCCTGGGCACCCCAGGCCATGGCCAGGCCATGCAAAGAGCCCAGCCCTGCATTCCCTCCATCCTCCATCCTCCATCCTCCATTCTCCCTCCTCCATCCTCCATCCTCCATCCTCCATCCTCTCTTCTCCATCCTCCATCCTCCATCCTCTCTTCTCCATCCTCCATCCTCCCTGCTCCATCCTCCATCCTCCATCCTCCATCCTCCATCCTCCATCCTCCATCCTCCATCCTCCATCCTCCATCCTCCATCCTCCATTCTCCATCCTCCATCCTCCATCCTCCATCCTCCCTGCTGCTCTCCAGCAGAGCCCAGGACCACGCAGCCAGTGCAGGGGAGGGAAGAATTCACACCTGGATTTCCTGACTTGATGTTTTCCCTTCTCTCCCCTAATTAAAGGTGCAATATTATGTGCCAGGAGCTCATGAAGCATTTCCAACAGGAGGAGGGTGACATCTCTTCCAATGCCACTCTCATGGTGCTCCAGGATCATTGTCACTTGGGGATGGTGGATGCTCAGGTTGTCAGACCCAGCATCACAAGGCAGACTGGAGCTCCACACTTCCACAGCCTCCTGGAGCTCCACATTCCAGGATCCATCNTGGAGCTCCACATTCCAGGATCCATCCCACAGCCTCCTGGAGCTCCACATTCCAGGATCCATCCCACAGCCTCCTGGAGCTCCACATTCCAGAATCCATCCCACAGCCTCCTGGAGCTCCACATTTCCAGAATCCATCCCACAGCCTCCTGGAGCTCCACATTTCCACAGCCTCCTGGAGCTCCACATTCCAGGATCCATCCCACAGCCTCGTGGAGCTCCATATTCCAGGATTCCACTCTTTCGAGGTATTCCCATGCCTCCCCACATCACAGGGAAAGATCTGGCCCTTCCGTTGCTCTGCAGTCTGTTTCCTACCTGGCATTCTAGTGGGAATTTTAATTTTTTCCAACCACCAGCTCAAAAACATCATCAAGCCCAAATGTGCTCCCGAAGCAGGCCCGGGAGGCTCATTCATATTGCAGATAAGCCCTTGGCAGCCGTGCTGATAAAGATTTCAAGTGTGGCTCTGCATACAAATATTCCAGACCCGACAATTAATCCAGCCCAGGAGGCTGAGGAGGTACCTGGGTTTTTCCCCTAACCCCAGCCCTTTTTCTCAGCCTGGCTGCTAAATATAGCTCCTGCTCAGAAAACAGAAAGGAATGACATGCTCTAATAAACCATCCCAAAATGTGATACAGAGAGCCCTGAATTCTCCAGAGGAGTTTTTCCTCCTCGCCTCACCGCTGGTCTGGGAGCTTCCTGCAAAGCAGAGAGCTCCAGGTGCTTTTTGGGAGCTGGCCCTGCTGGGATCTGGGACCTTATTTCAACCTAAATGAGACATGGCTCGATTTCCCCTTCCCTCCTGCTGGTTTTAAGCCGGATCAAACCCCAGCTCTGGATCACTGAGCAGTTCCATGAGGGCTTCAGTCTGCCCAGGGAGGAGGGGGATTAWTGGGCACCCAGACCTGCTGTTTGCCAGCAGAGCCTCAGCCAGGGCAAACCGTCCTCAAACATCAGCTGCAGCTACATATTTGACTGCTTTTCCACTCAAAAATATCCATTTGGGGAGCAGAAAGAGCTGGGAGTCCTCCCAGCACAGGCCAGGCCTGGGATGGCTCCTCTTGGCTGGAAGTCAGGCAGAGGATGAGGGCAAACAGCATCTCAGCAGAGATGCTGTTCATCTTCTGTTCAGGGCATCACCAAGAGGAGAGGGRAAAATGGGATAAATGACCCAACATWGCCTGAGTGACAGCTCTCAGCCTGTGAGCCCCATAGTGCAGTCTGACCATTCCCTGCCCAGGCCACCTGTCTCTGGTGGCCCTGTGTGGCCTCCCTGCCTCACGTGGGGAGGGTGTACATCCCCAGCCCCCTGGGAGTTACCAGAGGGACACCTGGGCTTGGATCCACCCCRTTGTGAGCAGCACCCCAGGCTTGGGCCAAGCCCAGGACGCTGCTCCTGCTCTGGGCTCCAGGCAGCACCAACCTGCAGACACCCACCACGAGCTGCTTTCCTCCAGCATCACCCCTACAACACCAAAAACTCCACCCCACTTATCCCAGGGTGGGATCCCAGCTGGGACACGCCCTCAGAACGAACAGGAACCCCCTTCACAACCTCAGAACAAACAGGACCCCCCTTACCTGGACGCCGCGATCTCCGCTTTCTGCTTGGCGATGGTGGCCGCCCTCTCGGCCGCCTCCACGGCCCGATCCACCTTCTCCCGGATCTTGCTGGCGCGCAGCGGGATCAGGTTCTTCCTTTTACCGCTGACCAGGATGTTCTGCTTGTACTTGCCCTCCTCCTTGGTGCCGTCGGGGAAGGTCATGCAGCCGTAGCCGTGGCGCTTGTTGTTGGCCCACTCGCCCTCGTACTTGAGCCCGTCCGAGCGCTGGCTCACGCCCGAGCCCGAGCGCTTGTCGTTCTTCCACTCGCCCACGTAGATCTCGGTGGTGGTGGCGTCGATGTCGTCCTCGRTGACCGAGAGCTCGGCCTCGCCCTCGCCCAGGCTGATGGTGGAGTTGATGTCGCTGGCGGTGGAGCTGACCGTGCTCATGCCGGCCTCGCTCCGGAACGAGCTCTGCTTGCTCCGCTGGCTGGCCAAGGAGCTCTTGGACTCGGACTTGCGGAGCTTGAGCCCGCTCAGCAGCGAGCGCCGGAAGATGCCCTTCTTCTTGCTCTTGAGGATCTCGGCGTCGCTGTGGGCCATGAGGACGAAGCCGCCGCGGGACACGGCCGGGCTGCCGGCCACGGCGGGCGAGGCGTCGGGGTGCAGCGCCGTGCCGTTGGTGTGCTCGCTGCGCAGGGAGTTGATGGACGTCCTCAGGGGTGACCTGATGACCGCCGCCATGCCGTAGGGAACGCTCTGCCGGACGCCGTAACCCTGGCGCATCCCTCCGACCCACTGGCCCTGGTAGGTGCCTGCAGAGAGGAGACAAAAGCAAACGGGGGGGTTGTGGTGTCAGATTCATCCGGGAGCCCTCGGCGGCTCCAGGTCCCAGCCCCGGATTGCGATGTCATGTTGGAGGAGGAATTGGGTGGATTTCAGGCTTGCAGCTGGAAGGTTAGAAACCAGACAAGACATCGAGGAACTGCCCCTCGGATCAATCCCTGAGCTGGAAGGGACATGGGATGGGGGAATGATGTCCCAAAGCACGGTCCCATCCCGTCCATGCTGCTGGCAGTGGTGGTGTCTCACGGTGAATGGATAATGCATAACAATACATTGATTTATCCACACGCTGCTGGTGTGCTGAGGGAGGAAGCGGCTCTAGAGAAACCAGGGCCTCGTGGGGAGAGATCCATGTGGATATTCCCCTTGGAAATGTGCCCCCGTTGGAGCTCCTGCATTTGCGTGGGCACTTCCTGGAGTTTCTTAACCAGTTATGAGCAGCATGAAGCACACACAGAGCTCCAGCACAGCCCTGGGAATGGGGGAACGAGGAGCCCAGCCAGTCTGGGGGGCACAGCTGGACCACAGCACCCACCCTGGGCACCCAAAGGTGGGGTGGGTGGTAATCCACTCGGGATTCCTAATCCCATCCCCTCCTGGAGGCTGGCACGGTTCCAGGCTTTATCCCAGYCAGTTGAACCCCAGGGCTTGTTTTTATTCTTAGGTTGGTCTAATCCTCTGTGGCCCAGCTCGGGATGCAGCGATTCACTGCTCGCCTAAGCCCTCCCAGAGCACAGCAGAAACCCCAGGGTGGCTCCTGGCCGGGCATTGGAGCTGCTGGAATGTTGTGAGTGGTCCCAGCTCCGGGATTTGAGGAGCTGGGATGGGCACAGGCAGCACTGGCAGTGGTGGGGCCTCCCTTGTGCCAGCCCTGCTCCCACACACCCAGGCAATCTGAAAATAAACCTGCAGGAATAGTGAGCCCTGCGTGCATGGAGCCAATCCTGCTTCCAGGACTCCCTCAGGAATGTCCATGCCTGGTTCTGGGACTCAGAGAAAGCTCTGGAGAGGGGTCAGGACTGGAGCAGTTCATGCTGAGCACGGGAATGGCTTCCTGAGAGTGTGAAACCAGCACCTGGCCACATTTTGGGGGGTATTTTGGGGTGCACCAGCTGTCATTTAGCTGCCAGCACTTGGCACAAATCCCCCAGGATTTGGGGATCCTTCCCAGAGCTCTGATGGAAGCAACACCCCAAGGTGTTCCATTACTGGGGGGACAGCTTTGTGCACCCCAAAAAAAGCCAGCCCCGAGCTGGGAACCCCACAGACACTGCCCTGGGGAAGGGGCGTGGAGAGGCAGGGGCAGGCGGGCAGGATTTACTGGGGCTTTATAGGATTAGCACCGGGATTAGGGCAGGCACTGACAGGGCAGGGCAGGGCAGGGCAGGGCGAGGAGGTGGTGACAGGGAGAAGGATGGGGGACAACCTGCAAGGTACAGCTCAGGGGACACAGCAGACACTGAGTCGAGCCCACCTCATCCCCTGTGGTTTCCCCAAAATAGGGGACAACCAGTACTGTGCCCCCACAGCTCTCCCCGGGCCTGGTGGCACCCTGGCATGGTGGCTGTGGCAGGGGACAGCCTGCCAAGGTGTCCCTGTGTTCCCTGGGTACCTGGCAGCACCTCTCTTTCCTCTCTGGCTCCACCAGCGCAGGAGAGTGGAGCAATGTGGGGAGGGATTGCCCCCAASACCCCGAGCTGCCCTGCAAAACAACCCCAGGATGGTTTGGGATGTCCTCACCCCATGYTCAGCCTCCTGCTTCCCCATCCAGAGATGGATCCAGTGGATTTTAGGGAAGATGGGGACAGGGAGAACAGGTCCTGCATGAGATCCATCAGAGCCCACCCTGCCCCAGCCCCGATGTCCCTTCCCTTGGCTGAACCCCTTCACTTGACCCCTGACCCCACACGATCCCTCCTCATCTCCTGACAAATCCACAGCTGCCAAAATTCCCTGGACTGAGCTGGAGCACCATGAGGGATCACAGCTCTGTGCTGAACACCCCAGGGACTGGCAGAGAGAAGGACAGAGCCCTCCAGGCTGGAGCACTGGYTGCAAACTGGTGCCAGCAGGTCCCAGCCACAGCCTGTGTGTGTCCCCAGCTGGGCCGGGGTGCCCAGGACACTGCCACCATCCCTGCCTGGCCCTCCAAKTGCTCCTGGAATGGCACTGCCACCAGGATCAACCTTGGCATCTCCTGGGCATTTTCTGGGCATTTCCTGGGCATTTCCTGGGCATCTCCTGACCATTTCCTATGCATTTCCTACGCATTTCCTATGCATTTCCTGGGCATCTCCTCGGCCTCTCCTTAGCATTTCCTCTCCTCAGCAAGATAGACTTTCCAGCCATTCCATCCTGTTTGTCCCCTCCCAGCACCGTGGAGCAGCTCCCAGCCCCCAGCTCTGCTCCCATGGGTGTCGTTCCTTCCCTGCTGGAGCTGGCACCATGGATTATCCCTGGGAGGATCCACTCCCATCCCCGATGGCACCGAGACATCTGGACACCTTCCTGGCCACCAGCAGATCAGAGAGCTTCCTGTCAGGGAGCTCAGCCCTCCCTCAGCCAGCAGCTCCTTCCTCCCTCTGCTTTCATTATGTCTTAAACCCCTTGATATCCCAGGATTTGGCCATGGACACCGGGAGGCTCTGGAGCCTCTGATCTGCACTGCTGAACGACGCCACCTCCTCCCTGAGGAAAAGTGAGGATTTTTGGGGTGAGATGACAGTGTTTTCTCTCCCCTCTCTGCCCACACCTAAGATCTGGCACTGTGTAGTGGCTGAGCCCTCTGGCCCTGCTCCAGGAACACCATTAAGGAGAAGCTTCACGGCTGCTCCCAGGCTCTTCCCAAACCCACACAGCCCATTCCATGTCCTGCAGGATGAATCCTTTGGCAAACACCTGGATAAAGCCCACGGGAGGTTTGCAGAATTCCTCATATGGAAACATCCAAGCAGGAATTTGGGATCTTGTGAAGCATTTAGAGGGCAYTGCACACACACAAGCCATTATCACAACCTGACCTCACAAAGAGCCAAATGTTTGGAAAATATTCCTTCTCCATCCCTAACACCGAGTTAAAAATCCAAACACACCCAGCATGGTGAGTCGATATTCCAAAGTTTGCTAAAATAATCAACCATAGGGACGCAGCTTCCCAGGTTTGCCTGGAAAATGGGAGCAGCAGGCTCCAAAGGCGGGTTCTGTGTCCCATACTTGAAGCACAGACAGATCCTCCAGGTTCAGTGACTGCATTGGACACCCGCAGCATTCCCAACCTCAG